GCTGAGGTATAACCCCAGCCCTGCAAAGCTCATTTCTGTGCTAAACTTTTGTTTATGTTTACATTGTAGTTCACATGGGTTTTTGATCTTTATGTTATCCGGGGATTGAACTCAGGCCCTTGCACTTGTCAGGCAAGCACTTATTCTACTGAGCTATCTGCCCGGCCCCTATGTTATCTTTTATGTTTTGTGAGCAAGTAACAGCCAATGTGAAAATACTAATGTCTACTCTGAGTACTCATTATGTATTTGGAGGATTTTTTTTTGTAAAGTGCTATTGATATTTTCATTAGTTCATATAAGAATTTATTTCTGCTGTTCTTTTTTAGATAGTACACCAAAAAGCAGTTAATGTTGAATAATCTAATGTTTTTGTATAAACACTCAATAAATGCTAAAAATTCAATACTTTATTATAGGTTTTTTCTTAAATACTTATTATTTAATGTAGTAAAACTCATAAAATTAAAAGTGATAATTTATCCATAGAAATAATTCTAAAGAAGGGGCCAGGGAGATGGCTCAGTAGGTTAAGTGCTTCCCTGGCAAGCATAAGGGCCCAAGTTCAATCCCTGGTTCTGCAAAAAAAAAAAAAAAAAAGAAAAGAAAAAAGAAAAAAGAAATATTCTAAAGGATAAATATGGGACAGACTCGTGTTTCTGTGCTTGAAGCCAAAATCAGCCTTGCGCTCCAGGGCTTAACAGCTTGCTTTCATAGGAACTAATCTACGCGGGTCCCTCAAGAGCTACAGCAACGCTTCTAAGATGCAGAACTCCCAAGGACCTAACCAGCCAGGTGTGGTGACACACATTTGTAATCGCAGCTCTCAAGAGGCTGAGACAGGAGGATCACTGCAAGTTCAAGACCAGACTGGGCTGCACAGTGAGCTCAAGGCCAGCCTGAACTGCACAGTGAGACCCTGTCTCAAAGAGATGTTTTTTAAAAAATCAACCTAACGGGGCTGGTGAGATGGCTCAGTGGTCTAAAGCACCTACTTGGAACAAACTTGGCAAAGCACAGGGACCGCAGTTCGATCCCCCAGCACCACATGGCAGCCAGCCCTGCCCCCTGGTGGGCTGAGCTGGACACACACACACACACACACACACACACACACTAAATAAATACATGTTAAAAAATAAATAAATAAATAAATAAACCTAACCATCTTCCACTAGGTTCCACCCATTAAAGTTTCCAGCACATCAAAGCAGTCACACCGGATGGTACCCCCCCTCCCCCTCTCCATACACACACAGAGAAAAATAATCAGTGCCAAGGCGATATTGGCTGTGCACACACCTGGATTCCTGCTCCGGGAAACGCAGACAGGAGGGTGGCGCAAGAGCCCAACTGCGGCAACTGAGGGACCCAGCAAGATAAACCCTGCCTCAATAGAAAAACAAAAAGTGGGCTGGCTCAGGATGAAGACCCTGGGTTCAAGCCTCAATCTTTCAAATAGATAAAGGCTTAAAAAACCAGGCCTGGTGGCACAGGCCTCTAATCCCAGCTCTCGGGAGGATCACTAATTCAGAGGCCAGCCTGGACCACATAGTGGTTGTGAGAGGCCTGAACTCGAAAATAAGTAAATCTCAAGTAGGGCCAGGGAGATAGCTCAGTGGCATAAGCTCCTTCCTGGCAGGTGCAAGGTCCTGGTTTTGATCCCTGGTGCCGAAAATAAATAAATCTCAAGTAAATATGAACATGAAATATGTGGGGGGCCTGGGAGATGGCTCAGTAGAATAAGCGCTTCCCTGGCAAGCGCAAGGTCCTCAGTTCAATTCCTGGTTCTGCCGAGAGAGAGAGAGAGAGAGAGAGAGAGAGAGAGAGAGAGAGAGAGAGAGAGATCTGAACAGCATAGTGAGATCCTGTCTCAAAAATAAAACAAATAAAAGTAATTAATTAAAAAATAAAGTCTGAAAATAAACTCAACATTAAAAGTTTAAAAAATAAGTACAAGCAGGTTAAAGAAAAGAATTGGGATAGGTCAAGCTGAATTTCTTCTGTAAATTACTCTTCTATTACTGCTGGAATGACCAACAACAATATACACGCTTTGAAAGCACAAATTTCTGATGTTGGAGTTTTCTGTGTATTTTTCTTTCATTTCTGTATTTGGTACAGGATCTTGCTCCTAGTGATCCTCCTGTTTCCAGCCTCCCCAGTGCCGGGATTACAAGCCTCCCCCCTCCCCCGCGCACCTGGACTATGATGTTGGAGTTTTGAGGAAGAACCGAGCGGGCCAGCAGGCTTGCCGCGTTCCAGGGAAGAATCCTTTCCTTGAGCTTCCAAAGGCTACGCATTCTTTGGCTGGGCGCCCTGCAGGACCCCAGGTCACATCTCCTTTTCTGACTCTAACTTTGCTGTCTTCTTTTTATAAGGACTTTTGCGTTAGACTGCGCCCACTTGGATAATCTCCACTTCAAGATCCTTGATTTAATGAAATCTGTGAAGTCCTGTACCATGCGAAGCCACCCCAGCAGTCTGGTAGCCACACATCTTGGGGGGGATAGCATGCTGCTGATGACACTTCAGTTCCCCAAAGCTTGGGGTTCTCCCCTAGGACTGAAAAAAGCCATGAGGTGAGGGGCTGAGAGAGTGGTAAGAACCAGATGTAGCTGCTCCAAATGCAGCCTTAATGTCCATAGCTAAGTCGTGCTAGGTCAAATTCAGGGATCTATTTAAAGGGGAAAAAAAAAAAAAAAAGATGTGCAGAAATTATTTGTCCCCTACTGGAGGGGGTGGGGGGATGGAGAGGATTTTTTTTTTTTAGTATACAATTTTAAAATGGCATTTCTACTGTTTCCAGTGTTTAGTAAAAAGCACGTCAGCCCAATAATGAGTTCTAAGCTTTTTTCTTTCCTACAGAGTAGGCGATTGAACGCGGGGACCTCTGCCTGCTAAGGGACCATTCTACCGCCAAACAAATTCTCAGCCCTGAATTCAGATTATTTAAAAGGTTGTCTTAGACAAACGCAGTAAGGGCCCGTGAGGTTGCAACAGACTCTAAAGTGACTGCTGGTGAAATCGCTATTCATTCAGGAGAATTGTTTTTCCTCCTCTCAGGTTTGGAGGTTGAATCTTGGGGATCACGCACCGTTAAGCGCGTTCCGTACCACTCTGGGGCTACACCTTCAGCTCCAAGAATTCTTTGGCAAGACTTTCCTGTTAAGCGGCTGATTTCTCAAGCTGGCTGTGAGTACTCGAGCAACCCCTACTGGTCCCGAAGGAAATAGCAACTTTTTGCAGAGCCGTTTTAACCGTAGTCCAGCAAGGGGCAGCAATGAGGCAGTTATAAATCCCTGGGCATGCAGTCAATCCGTACACATTAACCTCAAAGAGAACATGAAATTAGAGTCCAGACCAGCCTAAAACAGTGAAAAGAAGGAGGGAACAACGACGATAATTATATTTGTTTCTCGTGCACAGGGAGGGCTCAGCGCAGAAAAGGAACGTCTCGTTCCACAGCATTTCTCGGACATCTAGAAGTTTTGAAATTAACGAAGTACAACCGTTTCCTGCGTCCTAGAATTGCCTTCCAGGATGTAGGAGCCCTGAAAAAGCACTGCCTATGTCGAGGGGTCCTGCTGTCCCCCGCGGACCGTGGGATTCTCACGCGAGTAGGTGCGCAGGTCCGCGACGCTCCGCGCTCCTCTGGGTATCCGGGACGTGGCGGGGGCCCACACCTGCTTGGCATCGTGACTATGCAATAGTTTGTGTAAGTCACGGTGAAGACCCAAATAAAAGAGGGACAAGACTTCCCATTGTAGAATTGTGGAGAGTGTGGTTGAGCGGTGTGTGTTTAGGGTAGAGGCGTGGAGGAGGAAGATGGGGGGGGGGGTCATTAGGTTTGAAGGCAGCGAGGAGGCGAAAGCAAAAGAGAAGGGGTCTCACTATATTGCCCAGGCTGGAGTACAGTGGCTATTCACAGGCGCGATCCCACTACTGATCAGCACGGGAGTTTTGACCTGCTCCGTTTCCGACCTGGGCCGGTTCACCCCTCCTTAGGCAACCTGGTGGTCCCCCGCTCCCGGGAGGTCACCATATTGATGCCGAACTTAGTGCGGACACCCGATCGGCATAGCGCACTGCAGCCCAGAACTCCTGGACTCAAGCGATCCTCCCACCTCAGCCTCCCGAGTAGCTGGGACTACAGGCGCGCGCCACCGCGCCCGGCGGTAGTTGGCTCGCGCAGGAGCGTACTAGAAGTTGAGCTGTGCTGACGTCACCGAAAGAGGGCGGAGCCATCTGGGCTCCAACGGGCACGCCCATGCGATACGATTGGCCGGGGCGGGCTTTGTGACGTCATTTGGGCGGGGGTTGCCGTCCTCTTCGGCCTGGTTCGGAGCTGGCTGTCGGAGCTCTGCGCTCTGTCTTGCAGCGTAACTCAATGGGTTTCACACACGCCACGTGTTTGGGTTTAGCAGTTCTCGGTAGTTCCGGGCTTAAGGCTCAAAGCTGCATAGAACAAGCAGCGATCGAAGAAGAAATACAAGCGTCCTTGACATTGTCTCGCTTCCGCAGGCCCGGAGGACGCCGCCTGCGTGGGACTCTATCTCAGTCCCGGGCGGCGCTGCTTGCGGGGAACCCAGCACCCGGGCGCGGCCTGCCTGCGCTTCCCTGATTTTGGAGCGAAGGCTAGCAAGAGCATAGAATGGGAGGCAGAATTTGGACTTAACGGACTGAAGGCTTTGCGGGACCGAGCTTAGGTGAGGAAGGGATAGAGGAAAAGAAAAGAAACAAAAGAAGTTTCCAACCTTAGTAGTCTGCAGCAGTAGACCTTTTATTTGTCCCCACCCGCACGCTCACCTCCCCTCTTTTGTTTTCTAAAAATTTGTCAGAGCTGCCCTCGCGACCACCTTTCCCAAGTACTGCAAGTAACCTCTCTCTCAAAAAAGCGTTGGGGCCAAAATGTGTAATAGGTGTGGTGAAACAGGAAGAAAATGTTCACGTGGGAAGGGGAACTAGGGAGGGGCAGGGGGGAGGAAGGGAAATGAAACGAAAGATGAATAAATTCAAACAAAGCTTTTGTAAAGAGGGAGGAAAAGGGGAATGGGGAGAATAAGAATCGAGTTCTATCATATACAGGTACAAATTCTCCACAGTGAGTATGATCATCATGTATACCTAAAATATACCAATAAACTAATTTTTTTTTTTTTTAAAAGGATTGGGCACAGTGGCCCACACCAACAATCCCAGCACTCGGGAAGCTGAGGATCCTTGCGAGCTCAAGACCAGCCTGGGCCACAAAGTCAGCTCAAAGCTAGTCTGAACTACAGTGAGACCAAGTCTCCAAAAAAAGGGGGAGGGGGGGCGAAGAACGGAGCGTCAGTTAAAGAACAAGGATTCTCGTGACCTGCACTAAATGAGTTTAAGCCACCACCTATGAAAAGAAAGTGGAACTGTGGCCGGATGTTAATCGTTCCCAAGCCCGTCCCCTCGCTTTATTAATAAGTTTTTAGCCAGGCACGTGACGTCCCAGTGAGAACTCACGTTTCTCTTGCAGCCAAGTACAGCCACGCGGGCACCCAGGGAACGCGAAAGGAGCGCGTGAAGGGGGATGGTGGCTTCGTAAAAGAAACTAGGCCCTCGGGTTCTGTGCTTTAGGCTTCTCTAGCGCTAGGTGGCGCCAGTGCACACCCTCTGCAGTGTCCTAGTTTTAAACCTGGAAATAAGGGGAAAAAATATCCTAAAAGGGACAGCAACCAGAAGAAAGGAGCATAGTGGAGCGGAGCCACCGTGGCATCGCAGGACATTCCTATCTCTGGACTGCAGAATGGGTAGTAAGCTGCTATCGCGTTTGAATCATGAATGCTCTGGGACGTCTCAGCATACTCTAAAGATGTGACCATGGTCACAGAAGAATGCCCTAGAAAGCTAGAACTTAGGGAAAACAGGAACCAAAAGAGGTCTAGCCGTCTACAGGGCACCCTACTGCGGGGATGCCCCCATCTCCTGTAAGAAGGAAGAGTTTGGTTTTCTTTGCACTCTTTCCTACAGTCTGTATTTACATTCACACCCATTTTTATTGTAATTATGGTATAAGCTAAACCTTTACTTTGTCCCTCGTTTGTCACTATACTTTCAGGGGCAGGAAATCTATTCGATGTCCGTAATGGTTCAGATTGAAGTTAACATGACCACTGCTTCAGCATTCTGTATATTTTACCTGTATTTCATGAATTAGTGATCGAGGTATCAAGTGCTAAATACTAAGTCACTGTTACGATCAGCTTGCTTTCTTTTTTAAGAGTTAACTCCCGGCAGTGGGGACTAAACCCAAGACGTTTGCTCTGAGCTGTCTGCTCTGGCCCTCACTGTCACCTTGTTAAATTTTTGAGGTACATCTCACCACGTTTTTCACAGTGGGTTCGAACTTGGGGCTTTCATGCCTCAGTTTCCCACAGTGCTGGAATTACAGGTCAGGTTTCAATTTTTCATTTAATATTTTTTCATCGACGGGGGGTTGTCTCACTATTTTGCCCTGACCCTGAGCTCCAGCCCTCAAATGCTGTCCTGCTTCAGCCTCCCCAAGAGGCTGGAACTGCAGCCAAGTGCTTGCTACCATACGCAGAAGTTGTTTGCTTCTTAGCAGTGAAAAACAAAACGAAGCGATGTCTGTGTGGGATTCTGCTCTTTCACAACATAACCTGTACCAGCCTGCAAGGTAGGGCGTGTGAGAGGCCAGGGCTCAGGTGGTGAAAAGAATTTATCAATAATATAGGAATACAGAAAAGGGTTTATTGATAACTACAAGAGAGCAGTAGGCGAGTCCAAGACAGCACTAAAGCACCAGGACGAAAGGCTGAGATTTTGTTACCTTTTTTTTTTGCGGAACCGGGGATTGAACTCAGGCCCTTGCGCTTGCCTGGGAATTGTTACCCTTTCAAAACAGGGTCACTACATAGTTTATCCCGGCCTTGAACTCACTATGCTGTCCCTGAGAGCCTCAAACTCGTAGGGATCCTCGTGCCTGTGCCTAAGGCTGAGAATTTTATTTTCAGGAGGGAAGGCGGCCTAGAAACGTCCTCCAGGTGATGATGGTTCTGTCATCCATCTGACCTCGGCCAGAGGTTGTTTAAAGACTGATGGAATGTTCTTTGATGGGATCCAGCACCCTTTTGCTGCTAGAAACTGTCCTTCCGGGTAAGACTGACAAATGTGTAAGGCTAGACTAACGTTAGTGGCCAAGGGGCTCAGAATAAATACATGTCTGTACTCCAAAGGGCCTTCTGCTGCTAGATGGGGATGGAAGAGACAGTATTCTTTAGACAGGGCACACGCCTCTTTCCGGGCTTGGGTCAGGCGGTAAGTTCATGTCCTGCTGCAGACTTACTGCTTAGCCGCGATGTGGCCTTCGAAGAAGCAACGGTGGAACGGCCACCATTCCCTACCTGTATGGCTGTAAATTCGGTGACGCAAACTTTAGAACAGATAATGCCTGCGTCTCCAAAGTCTGCGTAGAAAACTCCACACCATGGTACCTGAACTATTTACAAAGCAGTCCTTGGGGAACACCTAACCATGAAAGGGTCGAGTAAAGGGCCCTGTGCTGTGCTGGAGGAGGTCGGCAGCCATGCAGGGTCTGGGCCAGCAAGGTAGCACCCAGGACAAGGCAAATGGACACAGGCCACCCTGGGCCCCACTGCAGCAGCTGAAGAAGATAGTCTGGGGGTCAGGAGCCTCACGAAAGGGGAGCACCTTAGGGGATGTAACCCGGTACCCCACCCCAGACAGCACCAAGGAGAGCTAGGGCCCAGCCACCCCCTGCCGGATGGGAGGTGGGGGATGGGTAGTAGGAAGGCGGGGCGGCTGGCGGAGGGCGGGGCCACGCGTAAATGGGCGTGTCTTAAGTATGGGCAGGGGACCCAACATAAGAGGGAGGGGGCGCGCGCGGAAGGGCGGGTCGGAGGTGGGCGTGGCCACATGCTGATGACGCGGCCACAGAGTGGGCGGGCACATGCGGAGCACCGCCCCCTTCCTCTACAGCGCCCGAGAGCGCGAAGCTGACCGCGGATCCGAGGCGCCTCGTGGGCGTCCGTTCGGCTGCGGCGCGCGACCTCCTGGGGAGCCCTCTCCCCAACCCTGGACGGACCGCGCGTTCCGTCGCTCGGCACCGGTGCCGGGCTCACCGGTGCTGCCGGCAGGATTTTTCAACAGGGCGGCGTATTCGCGCTTACTTGCCCTGATTCCATACTGTGAACTGACTCGAGTTGCACTCCGCCCTAGACCGCGTTTTTTTCTTGATGGCGCCCAGCTTGGAATGAGCGTCTTGAACGCGGTTAATGCACGATGACTCATCAATCCGGAAACGAATTCTCGTGGCGGGTCCTTAACTCGGAGGAAACCCTCAGAGCCGGCCTCGGAGTTGCTTATCCAGCGTGGCGCTTAGTGGGCCTATGAATGTGCACGGAACGGGTGGGCCTCCTTGTTTGCTCTTTGGGTGTATTTTGACTTCCACTTGATAGCTCTGCGGAAGTGTTTAGGCTTTTAAAAATTTCATAGAACTCCATTATCGTCTTCTGGCTATTTATTACATGAGTGTGATCTGACGTGTAAAATCACATCCCCGAGCCAAAACGTCATACGTTAAAATCCCGATATTTAACAGAATTTATTGAGGGTATCGATTCTATCTCATCGCAGCAGTGTGGCGGGAGCTCTCTGCTTTATTTATTTCAAAAATCATTACACTGTTTCCATTTCCATCAGCTGACCCTGGCAGGTTGTTTCTTTGAAGTGTGTTCCTATATCTGTCACACTCAACCAGAATAATTGGCAAATTGGCTTGCTTTGCTTAAATTTCTATTCTCAAATGTAATTATTGGCCAAGGTTAACATATTTGAATAGTCTATATTTGGGTAAGAAAACACAAAATTTTTAGTTGCATATAACTTGCACTGACTAAGAGGAGTGACCAAGTGAGACACGATAGCCTAGGTCCATACACCCCCTACTCTGGGAGGCTGAGGCAGGAGAATTCCAAATTCAATCTGAGAAATTTACTAAGACCTTGTATCTAAATGAAAAGTAAGGGCTGGGGATGTAGCTCAGTGTGAAGGTCCTGAATTTAATTCCCAGTAATGCAAAAAAAGAGAGAACACTCTTTGCCTAAATCATTCACTCATCCAACAAATAAATACTGATATTTCTTGTGTAACAGCTTACCTGCTTAACGACTGTTCGGCTTATGAGCAGGGCATGCTGTTCAGACTTATGACTCACCTTTGCTTGCTGTTGGTTTACAGTTCTGTACATTTTGTGCCAAATCACTACAGAATCAATCACTCACAACACACTTTTTTGGGTACATTACACCTTTTTTATACAGTACTATAAATTTTACTAATTGTACTACCCAGTACTATAGTTTTATTTTTTAATTTATTTTTGTCTTTTTTATCTTATTTTTTCCATAATTTTATTGAGAAATAGCAATGAGACAGTTTCAAATTGATTAGTAAGATAGTTTCAATAATTAATACCTTGCATATTTTTGTCTTAGTGGTTATTCATTGTACAAGATACAGACATGCTATCCTGTTTACAAATACTATTAGAACAAATCTTTCTTTTCATTGAATTAAGAGAATGTAGCTGTATGTCTATCTTATTTTGAATATACAGATACAAAATGGTCATTCATTTGTATCCCCTTTTTTTGTTTAATTTTATCATTTGAATATCATAGATGTGTGAATTCATCAGAATATTCCAAAATAGTCCAGTAGTCCATAATAGTAGTGAGTTTTCTGTAAGATTGGCAATATTTTTGTCTTTTTGAGATAGGGTCTTACTATGCAGTTTCAGGCTAGCCTTGAACTCACTTTGTAGCCCAGGCTGGCCTCAAACTTGCAATGATCCTCCTGCCTCAGCCTCCAGAGTGTGTTAGGATTATAGGTGTGTGCCACCATGCCTGGCTTATTTTCTATTTTTTGGAATCAGGAACTGGACTCAGGACCTTGCACTTGCCGGACAGGTGCTTGTGCCACTGAGCTATGTTCCCAGCCCAGAAATTATGAAACAGGCTTATCAAGTTGGAGTTTCCTTTGGCCATTTCTTTGTTCTAAACATTGTTTTGGGTTTTTTTGGTTTTGTTTTGATTTTAGAAACAGGATCTTGTTTTGTAGTTCAGGCTGCCTTTGAACTCACTAGGTAGCCCAGTCTGCTCAAATTTGAGGTGATCTTCCAAGTGCTGGGGCTGCAGGCATGTGCCATTATGCCCAGCATGAATATTGTAATGTATAAGCCATATACAGTCCCTCCTTTAGCAACCCACTCATGTAATGACCTACTGGTGGAAATGTAACTCAGTCGGTAAACAAGGAGGACCTGTTGCCTGTTATATTTTACGCCCATTCACTGAGTGTACTGTGCAAATAAACAGCGTTCATGAAAAGACAAATACCTTCAAAATATCTGTTAGTTCTATAATGTCTGATAGCGGGGGAAAATAAACTACCTGACTTTTTTTGGATATTGAGGGAAAAGTTTGAGGTTGCTCATTTTACCTCAATAGCCAAAATACAAGGCTGGGGAGATAGCTTTGTGGAATAAGTGCTTACCTGGCAAGCACAAAGTCCTGAGTTTGATCCCTGGTACCACCAAAACAACAACAACAACAACAAAACAAGAACAAAATACAGAGCCGGGTGTGATAATGCATACTTGTAATCCCAGCACTTGGGAGGCTGAGGCAGGAGGATCATCATGAGTCTGAGGCCAGACTGGGTTACATAGTAAGTTCAAGGTCAGCCTGGACTACACAGAGCTTGTCACAATAAACAAACAAACAAATTTATTAAGTATCCACTGTATATAGTTTGCTTGTGCCTGTTTCCATGCAGAAGGGTGTGATTTGGAGCACGCTCTGCTGAGATCTGTTGATTGCATATGATTCAGGCAGAACAGCTGTTTCTAAGGGTCAGCAAAACTTCGCAGCAAGCTCTTCTCAGTGTGCTCACCTCTAAGGAGTATTTGCTTCCAACGGCTCCCTGTGAATGAAAGGGATTCACTTGGAGGTAAATTCTCGGGTGCAAACAAACTCTTAGAAGTGATGTTACCTTTGGAACTCTTTGCTACGTAGGAATGTCTCGGCGCATAGGCGTGCATATACTTTCTCAAAGGTTATATACACAATTCTGAACCACAACAAACAATTGAACAAGTAATTATCACTGTTATCCTTGGCTCAGTGATTGTTTTATGTTCAATTTTTGTCTTACACTCCTGGCTAGTAAGCTGCTTTACTACATACTTTATCCTTCTATCCGCTGA